AAATGAGTAAGGAACAAAACTGAAATGTTATTCCACAATATGTCAGGTAAAAGTAAAATAGATGGTGCCAGTTGTAGTCCTTACGAAGTAAAGAAGGATACAAGCGCAGCAAGTTATGATATACAACGCAAGACAATGTGCCCAAAGCCTGCAAAGAGAAATTTTGAAGATATATATTTAGGAACAGAAGTCAAACACAAATGATGGAAGCACTGGGAAGAAAAACATGGTACTCCCTCTGTCCCAATACGATATGCTACTACAAAAAAAAAAATATATGCTTGAAGAAAAATCAGACAGATTCAAGAAAACATAATACAAGTAACTGTGATTGTAACATTTTCCATATTCTTCGTATTTTGTCCTCGTCTTAAATGGGATGAAGATGGAACTGCTGAAGTACGAAGTGAACTAAATAAAGGTACTTTAATCTATTACGATGTACAACGTTAGAACTGATGTAAAAAGAAAAAAAAGATTATCTTATTAGGGCGTAGTGAGAGAGTAATCAACAGATTCTAAATGTAAAAGTACTCCAGAAATGGATATTTGATGCCCTCAACTTCCTTTCCAAACAATCCATATAGCATATAGAACAATTTATAAAATGTTATATGAGATAAAATTTTGATGGTCGATAATGAAATTATAGATTCATACCATTTTGATCCTTCATTGACATTCCCAATGGTGAATACAGTCAACTGTTCATCTGGAATTTGCTTGTGATCCATGTCTTTCCCAAAATAATTAAGCGGAAGAACAAGAAACAGGCATACAATAGCAGCAACAGTGAATACTCTAATACTGCACAAAGAAAAACAGGAGCTAATATCATATCCCAGAAACAACCAAAACCGTATAATCCACAAGCCAGAAACAGTTGACTGCACTTTAGCAAAATAAAAGAAAAAACATGCAGGCACTCGTCCATGTTTTATTAATATCTATTCTACCATAGGAGAATTTTCGGAAACTCTTTCCAACATGCAGACAATCAAAGAATTTGAAAAGCATAGAACAAAAGGCATTTTCTACAATGACCACATTTCATGAATATTCACCAAGTTATAAGATATAATATTCTACTCTCATACTGCAACCATCCACCAAAACTAAGTTTGATTCCTAACATTGATCATACTATGCAGCAAATGTTTATCTCCTCACTGTGATAAAATCTGAAATTTGAAGTTCATGTAACATTTAAATACTACCGGTAGCGCTAATATCGACCTCATTGGTCAGAGATTCTTGACAAATGATTAAATCCAAAACCACTTTGAACAAGTAAAACTTGTCATCTTCTGAAACTCTGATAAGTGACTATTTAAGGATCAATAATGGACATTAAGAATATCTGGCAGCAGCACCCGAGTCACAGGTTTCTGGGTGAAGTATCCTCAATAGTTCTAATTCTCAATGTGGGTCTGGAAGTAATGTATTATCCTAGCCTGGAAGTCACGTTTGGCTCATGAAAAATCTGGTTTCCTATGATTTTACTTGAGAGAAAGAGATAGATGAAATGCTATTGAGAGAAGTCCACCTTGCATTCCAATTATGGCCTCTGGATATATTGCTAATAAAACATCAAAGCTAGAAACAGCCACAGGAGATTAGCATTATCACAGTCCTTATACAAGGGATACAATAACCCCTACAACACCCTTGAGAAGAAACACCTCAATGAGAAAAGGACGAGGTAATTCTAAGGACTCTGGCATGAACTATACTGCATAGTACAAGTAGCTTCACGGATAATTTGATATCCAAATCGGCAAACAGAACCCATTATAACCACAGAAAAAAAGAGAAAAAGAATCAAAGAAATGCCACAATGTTTTTTAAATCAAACAAAACATCGACCACAATTTCTATGTACAGAAAAATGAGCTCCGAAATGCCACAATGAAACTAAACAAGTTAGTACCTGAAAACGACTGCACGCATGAATACCACAGCATCCACCCCCCCAGCGGCACACAATTCATCCTCGGAGGCTTCCCATGCCTTCACTATCCAACTAGCAGAAGGAATAAGCCTCCCAAACCAAAAGGGATCATTGCTTCTTGAATCTGCTTGAGCAAGTTTCTGCCCAAAATACACACTCACGAGGCTCGGTTGTTTCCTTAGGACAGAGTACAAAGAAAATAAACCAACACATACGGCCGTATTGATACCAGCAGAAGTCAAGAGAGCAGATACGTTCATCTCTATCCCACAGTGCCAACAAATCTATGAAATGTCATTGTGAGAATGTGAGACAGAGGAACTTTGTGAGACGCAGCATTGATCAGTCCGAACAAGCTGACACACGAGAAAGCTTGTATATTTTCCTACAGGGGAGTAAAA